TCCAGTCTGGGCGACAGAGTGAGACTCCAACTCAAAAAAAAAACAAAAAAAGAATTTTACTGTCTTCTTTACTTATTTCAAGTTTGTGGTCTTGGAAGCTCTGAAATTTTTTTACATAATTGATTTCACATTGTTCTACATTTCCTTTGTCTTCTTGAATGTCATCTTTTTTCTTTGTTTCTCTTTCAGCACAGGACCTAATCTTTATCATTTCTTCTTCTCCTATGGTTTTACTTTTCGCTTCTATATCACCTGCTTCATTGCATCAAATAAAGCAGTTATTTGAGGCCAATAAAGCCATTTTCCCATCTTGAAAGACGGGTTCCCATTGTTCTCTTGGCCCAATTGCATCTGAATGCCCAACAACAAGTCCATCTGAGTTTATACCAAGATATTTTCCATAACCAGATTTCAGGGCAATTCTGGAATCAGATAATTTGACAGCTGTAAACTGCTCTGGAGGACTCGGGCCCTCATCAACTTCTTTATGTGGTGCTCCCAGAGCAAAAAGACCATTGTCAAGTGCATGTATGTAGGTTCCTCTATCCATTTCAATAGCTATGGTTCCTGAAATTTCACTGAAGTTTGTTACTGCCCACCAAATTCCAACAATATCAGTTTGAGTTTCTTCTTCTCTTTTTTTTTTTTTCTTATGCTGCGTCTTCGCCCCCTTGAGCACAAGTTTGGTGGACTTCACGTGGGCATATTCAACCATGGCCCACACTTTCTACTGCTCAAAACAGTTTTTGAACTCATCAATTTGCCTTTTAGTGCTTCTGCTCTTTTTTGTTTCACCTCTTCCACATCGGCAAAACATTTCCCTTTGAGGACTTTTTTCATCGGGGGAAACAAGTCATTTGGGGTGAGATCAGGCTAATGAGGAGGGTGGGGCACGGGGGTCATGCAGTTTTTCATCAAAAACTGCTGAACGTTCAGTGCGGTTTGGGTAGATGTGCTTGTAAATCAACCATCATGAAATGGACAAATGCGTTGAAAGAATCGCCAAAAAAATCCACTGAAGCCAAATTTAACCTTTCACAACAACACTAGCTGGTACACTGGTGCTGATGGATTTCTAGAACACTTATCTAGCGAGGGAAGCCTGCACTCCAAGGAGTCTGCCCTCCAAAATATTATTCTGGGTTTTTTTAATCCCCCTCATGTATCCAGGATGCATTACAGTTTTACCATTAAACTTAAATCTTAGTTACATTTCCCCAGATGCACAAAAAGCTGGATTCTTGCTATATGAAGTTAGTTGTCAGTTCAGTCATTTAGGTTTTCTCCCATAGAATTATGGGGGAGACGGTACTGTTAGCTCTATAATTGATGTGGAAATTCGTATTTGAAGTTTGTGCCTTTGATTTAGGATACAAATTCCATAGCATTTGCTTTATTTGCATGAATGTGTGCATTGTGTATATAAAACATGAACTTCTGTAGCCATTGATAACTGTCAACACCCTTTAGTTTGAGGAATTCCATCTCTAGTATTTACTGCTGTCAGTCACTAATATAGTATCCTATTTCTATAGGTTATTGGGAAAATGAGAGATAAAAATAGTAGTTTCTTGTAAACAAACAAGATGTCTTAGAAAATCCTTTTTTATATTCAGAATATTTTTTCTTGCCTTTTTTTCCCCTTCCCCTCCAGATACCTAGAAATAATCGCTTAATGTATATTCATAGCTATCAGAGCTATGTGTGGAATAACATGGTGAGCAAGAGAATAGAAGCCTACGGACTTAAACCTGTTGCAGGGGACCTTGTCCTCAAAGGAGGTAAAAGGCAAATATCATTGTTGTTCAGCCGAACTAGCATTTGGTTATTGTGGCTTTAAAGTTCAGCCTGGCTTTAAAGTTCAGCCTGGCTTTAAAGTGGCTTTAAAGTTCAGCCTGGCTACTGGTTAAGAAAGAGGATGTCTAGTAAGTATGAGATGGCAGGACCATGCAGACTGAGACTTGCTAGTTTGCATCTGTGTTTTCAATAGAAAAATACACCTCTGCCAGCCACAGGGCTCACTCCTGTAATTCCAGCACTTTGGAAGCCGGGTGTAAGAGGATTGCCTGAGTCCAAGGGTTATAGACTAGCCTGGACAACTTGGTGAGACCTCATCTCTACAACAAATCAAAAAATTAGCTGGGCATGGTGGCATGTACCTGTGATTCCAGCTACTTGGAAGGCTGAGGTGGAAGGATCATCTGAGCCCAACAGGTTGAAGCTGCGGAGGCTGTGAGTGTGCCACTGCATTCCAACCTGGGCAACAGAGTGGGACTCCTACTCAAATAAATAAATAAATAAATGAAAGATACACCTCTGGGGTGGACTCAGTGGCTCAAATGTGTAATCCCACCACTTTGGGATGCCAAGGCCAGCAGATTGCCTAAGCTCAGGGGTTCAAAATCAGCCTGGGCAACTTGGTGAGACCTCAACTCTACGATAGATCAAAAATAAGCTGTGTGTGGTAGCACACACCTGTAGTTCCGGCTACTTGGAAGGCTGAGGCAGATGGATTGCCTGAGCCCAGCAGGTCGAGGCTGCGGTGGCCATGAGCATGCCACTGCACTCCAGCCTGGATGACAGAGTGAGACTCCAACTCAAAAAAAAAAATACACCTCTGATTTGAGTAAGCACCTGACTCTCTGGTCCTCCACTTTCTCTACTAGAATAGGATTTGGGCTAAATTTTTGAAAGAAGAAATCTCTATCCAAGCCTTCATCTAGATCTAGCAAATATGTACGTTTCTGCATGTGTCTTCAGCCTCTCAGATTGTTGTCCGCCAGTTTTGAAGGAGTCTTCAAGTCAACACCAGGCTGTAGCTTACTTTACAGTGGGCTATGATAGAGTGGGCATTTAGTGTATGCTGTGCCCAAAATGTTCATAAGACAGCACTAAAATCCCACCTACTGTGTAGCCCTTACTGTGTGCCAGGCCTTGGCCCTAAGCCCCTTACCTGTGGCTTCTCATTTAAAGCTTACAGTATTCTTTGTGAAGTGTTTTCTCGTTTTTCAGTCAAGGTTCAGTCACTTGCCCACAGTTCCACCACTGAAGGGTGGGATTCAGAAAAGACTGAGATTCAGAGTCGAGTCTGTTCAATTGTAAAGTCCATTTCTGGCTAGCTGTGTAGAAATTAAAGAATACTATTAGCTGAATAAATACATGGCCTGCTTGCCTGCAGGCACACCCATAAATCCACTAAGTTCTCAGTTTGTTCAGAGATTGTAATTACTTTTTTCCTGACTTAACATTTTATTCCTCATGTAGTATTGATCATGTCCAACATATTTTCATGTCCTGTGTGCCACTGTGTCTTATCCTTGTTACTACACACTAGTTTTTTACATTGTTTATTCTTTCAGCAAAATGCATCCATTCATCATGTCTTTCCAAATAGTATTTTGTAGTATGATGGCTTTCCTAGTCTTTTGTGGTGGTGTTTAAGAAGGATAAAGGAACTGATTTTAAAAGTAAGTGTCCCGCCGGGCTCGGTGGCTCAGCCTGTAATCCTGCGCCTTTGGGAGGCTGAGGTGAGTGAATTGCCTGAGCCCGCGGGTTCGAGACTTGCCTGGGCAACTTGGCGAGACCTCATCTCTACAATAAATCAAAAATCAGCCGGGTGCGGTAGTGCGTGCCTGTAATTCCGGCTACTCAGAAGGCTGAGGCGGAAGGATCGCCGGAGCCCAGTAGGTCGAGGCTGCCATGGCCGGGAGCAGCCACTGCACTCCAGTCTGGGTGACAGAGTGGCACTCCAACTCAAAAAAAAAAAAGTAAGTGTCCCAAAAGATTAGGATGTAATTGAGAGACAAATATTTTAAATTTTTCATTTAAAATTTTACTTAGAAGCCGGACTCGGTGGCTCAGCCTGTAATCCTGCGCTTTGGGAGGCCGAGGTGAGTGGATTGTCAGAGCACACGGGTTCAAGACCCGCCTGGGCAACTTGGCGGGACCTCATCTCTACAATAAATCAAAAAATTAGCCGGGTGTGGTAGCACACGCCTGTAGTTCCAGCTACTTGGAAGGCTGAGGTGGAAGGATCGCTGGAGCCCAGCAGATAGGGGCTGCGGTGGCCGGGAGCGGCCACTGCACTCCAGTCTGGGCAACAGAGTGACTCCAATTCAGAAAAAAAATTCTACTTAGTTAATTTATTTCTCTCTTTCAACCGGATCTTGCTTTGTCTCCCAGGTTGGAGTGCAGTGGCACAGTTATAGCTCACTATAACCTCTCAGACTCCTGAGTAGCTAGGACTACAGGCACATTTCATCACACCCAGCTAGTTTTTTTTATTATTATTATTTTTGTAGACATTCCTGGCCTCAGATGGTCCTCCAAGCCTTGACCTCCCACAGTGCTGAGATTATAGGCCTGGCCACCATGCTCAGCCCCAACTTAATTTCCCTATATTTCCTAGGCCACTGAACCTATACTTCTGTCTTGCTTAGATATATATAATATTAGAAGGTTGAGCTCATGAAAATATTGGCTCTTTTCTGAACTTTTCTTAATTTATTGTTCACTTGTGAATTTACAGCCACAGCCACCTACATTGAGGAAGAAGATGTTGATAATTACTCTATTCATGATGTGGTGATGCCCTTGCCTGGTTTCGATGTTATCTACCCAAAGCATAAAAGTAAGTTCCCTGTATGGGAAAATTTGTTTAAACAAGTTTAACATAATTCAGCCACTGGCATCTATGAGTGAAGAGAAGGGAAAAAATTCAATACTTTAAATATAATTTTTGAAATATTGCCATTATACTTAAAAGGATACGAGAGGGAGCCAAAAAAAATCCAAAATTGATTTATTTTTAAAATTGTGTATTCTTACATGTTTAAACTTCAATCACCTTGAAAGTACTCTCCATTTGACACAATGCACCTATTGAGATGCTTTTTCCACTGCTCAAACAGTTTTTGAACTTACCAATTTTGATGCCTTTTAGTGCTTCTGCCATTTTGTGTTTCCCGCCTTTTACATCGGCAAAACATTTTCCCTTGAGGACTTTTTTCTTCCCTTTGAGGAAACAAAAAAACGTCTCTCAAGCCGAGAGCCGATGAGTAGGGAGAGCAGGGCATGGGGGTCATGCCATTTTTAGTTAATTGCTGAATACTCAGTGCAGTGTGGGAAGGTGCACTCATAAATCACCTATCATAAAATAGGCAAACACATTGAAAGAATCTCTGGCCGGGCTCTGTGGCTCAGCCTGCAATCCCAGCGCTTTGGGAGGCCGAGGTGAGTGGATTGCATGAGCCCCCAGGTTCGAGGCCCGCCCGGGCAACTTGACGAGACCTCATCTCTACAATAGATTTTTAAAAAAATCAGCCGGGTGTGGTAGCACATGCCTGTAATTCTGGCTACTTGGAAGGCTGAGGCGGAAGGATCGCCGGAGCCTAGCGGGTCGAGGCTGCGGTGACCAGGAGTCTGCCACTGCACTCCAGCCTGGGCAACGGAGTGAGACTCCAACTCAAAAAAAAAAAAAGAAAGAAAGAATCTCCAAAAAAATTCACTGTAGCCAAACACAGCCTCTCACAGTAACACTAGCTGGTACACTGATGCCGATGGGTTCCTGGAACACTGACCTAGTGGGGGAAGCCTGCCTTCCAAAAAAGAATTTCAGTTTTTTTGGGCTGTCCTCTCAGATTTCAAATGTGTATGAACTGTGGTTACTTATGAAAGTCTCCCAGAAAGAGATGCATTTAAATCAAGAAAGAAGAT